TTGCCGTGCCAATGCCACTGCCACACTGCCAACCCGCTAAATCAGCCCGTGAAGCACGAGCTCAATTATGAACGAAACGGCGAGGGATCGTAATCCCCCCCCCCCCCACACACACACACACACTTTGGCCGAAGTATGTGTGGAAAGCTGATGGGGCTGGCAGGGGTAGGTACGGTTCTCCAGTAAAAGTCTTGTTGGTTTTGCTTTTTCGGACATATCTGGTCCTATTTAATGTTCAACTGCATAAGTATCAACCCGAATTATGTGTATGCACATTTACCACGAGACTGTGAAATTGCATCGTTGTATGCCAAATACTTTCCGAGATATTCACCAAAAACCTCATTTTCTGCCGTTTGGGGTATTCTGGCCGCAATCTTCCTGGGATCGCCTATGACATCAGTGGAGCCATCTAACGAGAGGAACGCGGAAACACAGTATCATGAATGAATCGAGCGCGTAGTAAACGGTGTATGAAAGGGAGACTCGGCAGAGGCTATCCGGGTGGCTGGCGCGCGGCGCGCCCTTAGGCATCGGCCGACCCTTCGGACCGCGTGGGGTCAGAGGTCGCGCTCGGGAAGTCTCGGCTCTGGGTTTTAGCGCTGTGCAGTCAGGAAGGGAGGATAGGATAGCGCTAGCCCGACTGACTAGCATCTCGGCTGATTCGTGTGGGGTAGACGGGGGCACAGAACGGGATGGTGGCTAGTGGTGGATGATGGGATGGCGGCTAGGTTAGTGCGTAGCTGAACATGTATTGTTTTTTCATGGCAAACAACATGCAGCATAATATGCGGGATTATGCCAGAACTCATACAAAAAGGAAATAATATTTCGGCCAAGGGAGTGGATGAGTGCCATGACAAAGCATGACGATGCTGCCAAAATCGGGATACTTTTTTACTCCATTTTTTTTTTACCCCTAACATGCAGCGCTTGATTCGAACTTAGAGGTCCCCGACTGACCTTAGACCTTAAAATCGCACCCGTCCGGTGCGCCACCTTTTCTTCAGGGGCGCTCTTCTTGGTAGTTGGTTGTATCTGTTCTTACCAATAACTAAAGCAAATCGAATGCGGTATAATAAAAAAGGCATACCTGGAACACAGTTTTATTCACACCCGCTCGTGTGCATACTTGTTTTGACCTATACCTTCTCACATCATATCACTTCAGTGCTTAACCCTCAACGGAATTTTGGGTTTTCTGCATATACCCCGGCCGAGGGGGGGGCGATTACCACCCCTCTCCGTCTTTTTGCCCCTAATTGAGCTAGCGCCTTGTGGATAAAACTGAGCGCGTGCGTCGTATGAAATGCAACAAATGGGTACCCGAGTTGAACGTCTCAGGTCAACCGATAAACTCTGAGGTCAGTATACCTAAGTGCTCCAAGTCGCGGGATCGGTTTTTGGTAAACAACTTCACCACTTAAGTGGTTACAGAGCCAAGATAATGGCACCATCGAGTTTTGCATGTTCAAGCGCGTCGAATAGTATACGCTTTATTTTTGTCGAGGTCAATTTAAGGTTTTCACATCAGGTCATGGTCAGGGCAGAGCCACTCCGGCCACGAAGCTGGCCCAATGAGGTCATATAGCTTCTTCGATTCGGTAGGACCTCACAAGTCCACTGGTGGCTTCCCGACTCGCTAGCTCAATTTGATCGGGACTTTTTGGTGAAAACTCCTGTGACCTTAGTGACGTCATAAATTAAGTCGCCTAACTTTAAGAATGGAAAAGTGAATGCTGGGGCTTGCAAAGGTTGTATAAAATCACGAATTAATGCGCTTGAGACAGCTTTAGATGGCTCCCGGCGCCAAAATAACAGCTTTCATATTTCCCAATTGATTGATAATCGTGAGGTTGCGTGACCGACCTGTCGCACGAGATAGCTACATACAAGTTGTGAGGCCTCTGGGAGGTAGTACTAGATCATATAAGCTTCATTCCCCGTTGAAAAGTCCCCTGGCACTAAGGGTGCTGCGACGTCGCGACATTTTGGGACCTTACAGAGGCTCACTTTTGACGTCATTGGTCAACGGCCTGACCTTAACCTTCGCACTTGTAGTCGGAGGGTGTCGAACAGACCTCCTACCCTCAGTTTTTTCGCAAATAACTCGCGCAAAAAGCGGCTGATTGCGACGAAACTTTCAGTACCCTCGAGTTAATCAATATTACGCCTACCCTATAATTTATATGACTCTGACTCGAAAGACCTTTGACTTGTGACCTGTTTTCCGAGACCATGTTTGGCCGAATCGCGTTTTGGCGTATTTCGAGTAGAGCGCGTTTTATTGTCTTTTTGTGGCTTTAAGCGATCAAACATGTGAAAGGATGTTGATCCCATGGATTCTAATGGGTTTCAAGGTCGCGTGAAGGTCAGTCAGGTCACTGACCTTTGATGACCTTCGCTCACTCTTGCGAGTTCTACATGTTTCTAGGGTAGATTTTGGAGTTGATTTCGCATTTAGAAACCGTTTGAACATTTACGAAGTAGTTGTGGTTCCCTCGTAACATGTGACCTGACCTGACCTGACCCGACCTGGACTAAATGCACGAAAACATCATCTGTGATCAAAACTAACTTGAAATTCGTGATCAGCACCCCGCAAAACCCGGATAACAGCTTCACTTTACGAAGCTATAACAGGTCCAGATTCCCCGACTTTTGAGTTATATTGACCTGTCAACCAATGACCTAGGACCTTAAAATTGGGTATTATCGGCCTCCTCTCGTCACGGGCAACACGCTCTTTTTCCGCGAAGCTCTAGCTCGATCAGTGGCTGAACGGCAAAGGGGTCCAACGGACCCTCCTCCCCCCTTTACGATAGACGCTGGCAAAACACCAATATGGGCGAGGGTGAAAATACAGCTGCTGTCATAGAAATTCAGCTGGAAGCAAAGGTCAGGCTTGCCAAATTTCAGCTTTCGCAGCTATCAACAAAAATAAACATGTGGAGGCGGCACCCGCCACCCCGCACCCGCCTCCCCCCCCCCCCTCTCGGCCACTGCCAGCGAGGTTTTTAAGCGTATCATAACTACACGTTACAAGGCATCATATCAAGGTGACACACCCCAGCAGCCATATGCACTGAACAAAAACTTATTACCCACGCTAGTCTAGTTATCGGCACCATAGCACATGGTCGAGACTGTCGTCAGCCACGGACGCGCACTCGACCAACCCTTTGAGCCCGTTGGCTGCGGGTGACCTTGACATGTCAAGCCTGATCGGCGGCCGGCCGCTGTCGTGCGTCGTTACACGCGGAGGGGAGGGAGACACAAAGCTCTACGTTATAGCTGACCTCTGACCTTTCCCTGCGCCCTGGTCACTGACTCCGCTCCATGTCGCTGGGCGGTGGCATGGCGGTGGAAACCGGTTCTAGCCTCTACACATGCTACCATCCTAACCCTCCCCTCCCCACACTACTACGCGGCGTGGAGTACGCTCGTGCGTAACTGGGCGGAGCAAGGAGTCACGCGATACAGGGGCGGAACTGGTTGCCCTCCCGCTCGCCGAGCGACCAACGACTAATACCCTGGAGAACCGTACTTAGAAGAGCTGTACCATCCACAGATACTTTCTCCAGCACTTTTCTCCAATTCATTAACACCTTCTAGGCCTTATGGTAAAACTGCTCAAGCAATCAGGGTTTCCTCTCTGACATTTCCTGTCTAACTCTCTGCAGTGTCCATTGTCCAATCACCAACTGATTATGGGTAGTACACTAAGGTCTTGGAGGGAAGCCTTCCCAGTGGATCACAAAAACACATGACATCTGGGAACAGGACTTGACATAGTCAGATTGACACTATCAGATCTTGATTGAGGCAACTGACATTTTTTACTAGTGGTAGGCACATTCCAATTCCAGTCATGGTGTATTCTACCATTTGAATTGAGCTTAGGTCAAAGAGATCATATGGCCAAGGCTCTGTACAGCAGCCATTGCCAAAATGATACCCACCAGCTGACTCAGTGACATAGTGTCCCATTCCCAGAGGTATAACTCAGTATACTGTAACAGTGTACCTCTATAACAGTATACTGTTCCAGCCAAGCTGCAACTGTTCTGCCTGAAGGAGCAATGGTCTCAGCTTTCAATACTCCTCCAGAAGGTCCCAGGTTGATATGTCCTCCAGTCAGCCTCTAGAAATCCTCCAGCTTGTTACAAAGATATGTTTAGAAGTAAGTGCATACATCTTTCCAGCAATCCACATTTTGTACTTCAATTGCAGAGTTCAAACTTGTCTTGCACAAGACAAAATCCATGGCCCCTGTGTTGGTTACCTATCTGAAACTTTTGATATCAGGAGTCATGCTGTACAATCTTACAGGGCAATCTAGAAGGATGCCTGTAAGCAGAGGGGTGTTCACGGGCACCGCACACTGCTGCGTGCGGTGTGTGCGGTACGTCCAGCAGGCGTGGGGGTAGGGGATGGGTAGGCGGTTCTGACGTCACGGCTGCGTGCGGTGGACGGTCCGCTGTTGGCCGGTGGCCACAGCGATCGCTGTGTGCGGTGACGAAAGGCTGACGTAGGGACGAAGTGGGCGGAGCTCCGAGGCTGTGTGCGGTCCGACTGCACACAGGGCCCGTGAACAGCCCTCTGGAAGGGCCATGTGATTCCAAACAAAGGTGCAAAGGTTTAGCTATAGCCTATAGGTAACAGCTGTGAAATGAATGAAAACAGTGCTTAATCACTTTTATTATCTTAAATTCAATAAGTAGGTCAATATATCTTAAAGCTGTCCTTTGAAATCAAAGACTTCACTGAGCTTAATTGCAAATAATAAATGGCTTGTTGGATCAGGATGAGATAGGTAGGTAAGAACTAAGAAACAAGGTAAGGCTATTCCAATTCCTGGACAGTCCTGAAAATGCTGCAAAGTTAATGCCTACAGCATGCACAACATACACTCATATGAGTTGATAAGCACCATATAGTGTAGACAAGCTCACCTATGCCATGCCAATCCAAAAAGTGAATAAACAATGCCATCTCACCTTGAACTGTCGAGGTCATCGCTGCTGCACGGACGTCCTATGTCAATGACGGAATGTTTTCCAAGATGAATCCAGTCTAAATGTCCTTTCTCTCTGTCTGCCTCCCATGCACACAAGTGATATGATGTTGTGCAGCCACTTCGTCCAACCGCTATTCCCTGTCCATTTCTCACATCACCAGAGGAAGCATTTCCAAACACACCATGAGTTCTCACTGGCACAGATTGAAGCTCACTTACTGAACAAATATCTCCTTTGTTCTTCACACTTTCAGTCAATGCTAGCTGACGAAATTTCGGTGCAGCAAACTTTTCAGCAAAGAGTCTGATGTCGATGTCAGGTCCGAGGTCATCCGTACCGAGTTGGTGATGCTCGACCTCTCTGACCTGTGCTCCAAAAACTGCTTCTGACAATGATTCATCACTGAGTACCCTACCGCACGCGCTTCCTACGACCACAAAATACAAAAACCCACGTAACAATCCTATGCCGATCGCTCCTGTGACCGCGCGGGAGGGGACCTGACCCGTCAGCGCCATAACTGTCACTGAGCTCTGGCGCCGGGAGAAGCATCAGCTGGCCGGAGAGCAGTGCGCAGGCGCGAGAGCAGACAACTGACGGACGGAAAGGGGGCGGGGCTGGCCGCTAGGGTTTCGGAGTCCGGTCCGGTAGTTGTCCGGCTTCTTTGAAAATGGTTACACGAGAGCGATTTAGCGCCGCCCGTCGCCCTGCCATACATATGTCCCGCCGCATCAGAGGGTAAGTGACCTCAGGTCAAGGTCAGATCAATCCGGTAACTTGAGAAAGCTCGTCAAGGATGCTAATCACGCATAGCATTCGATTCAACGATTCTGATCTTTTGTTACCGTTCTCAATCTCGACTGTAAAAAAGTCGCGATTTCAATTTAGTCGGGAGACGGCGCCGTCTAGTACCGATTATTTATAGTGGTACCGATGACATGAAATGACCTCGACGCAAAAATTTGACATCGGCTATCAAACCCCGCTGAACTAAGGGCCTGAGCTGACGAACTCAAAATAAAATAAATAAGTGTTGGAGGGAGGATTGAATCATTTGCGGCGCTTAAATGCAGTTTCCGTGCCTTTTATCGCGGTACCTATATATCTCGAGTTATAATGGGGAGATCATGTGATTAACCCGACCTGACCCAAGATAGCGGTTCGTGGCTGGAGCAGGCTGGAGGGGCGAAAGATTCGGCTTAAATCAAAAGTTGGGTACGGTAAATTTAAGCGTGGTATATACAATAGTTTAGTTACCTCCCGAAAAAAATGCCTGAGGACACAACCTATCGATTAGGGAGGCGTCAGGTCTCAGGTCAATGAGAATGGTGACTTGTGAGATCAGCTCTCTCATAGTCATATGTGTCCCTTTTCAGGTCTATCGCTAACACGTGGTCAGACGGATCTGAGCCAGCTATGCACAGGCAGAGATGGATACCTGCCTACGGAGACCTCGGTAACTCAGCGATATAGCAAGGAGCGGTACACGACATTTAAAAACCGTCAAAATATGTTGACATTTTCGCTAATGTCAAAATGGCCTCGACGGGGACAAATATAAGATTTACGACTGAGAACGGCAACATCCGACAAACGAAGCCGCAGTTCGTAAACTATGTAGGTATGTAGAAGATCTACGAGGGCGCGACCAGTACAAGCACTTGCTAATCCTATTGTAACACCTTTCCCTAGAACGCTAATAAGAAAACTGAAGAGCGACACACTAACATCAAAGATTAATACCTATAGTATAGGTTAAACCAAACGGCATAAAGTTTCGGTTAAAACGGAGACCGATGAAAAGGCACTTTGAAAACACACACATATATTAAATACTTCTTCATATGTTGGACATACTCCGAGACAACTGTCGAATGTCGGTAATTTCTAAAATAAATGCACCCACACACAGCAACAAGGTCATAGCCGCATAACCCACCCATGGGTCAATTCATTGTTCATCACATGATACCGAATCACATACCGACTATATCCGGATACGCGGCGTAATAATGCATATACACTTAAAGGCCGCCGTCCACTGCGACGGAATTCCGTCCGGAGTCCGTCCGGAATGTCGCCGCACGCTGGCCGCATCCGGTCCGGATGCGGTCCGGATGCGGAGAGCTAATAAATGTTTCCTAACACTTATTATCAAATAAAATATTGCAAGTAACCAGCAGCGAATACTCTTGCCATTCTAAGGAAATAATTTTTACTTACTTCATGATGATCGTGTTCCAATTCTTCGTACAATTCACAATGTTTGCCTCCGATACGGCCCCAAACCACGTCTGTTCCGGACGTTCCGGATGCGTTTTCCGCAAAAAGTTCAACGCGTCGGACATCACTCTTCCGTCTCCGTAGCAACCGCATCCGAAACGCATGCGGAGAGCTGACGGAAAATCAACAGCTGATTGCCGTTCGGATGCGGTCCGGACGGAGCGCACACGATTTCCGTACGGACCGGATGCGCCCATAGGGTTCTGTGTTAAATTCCGTACGGACCGCACGCGTTCCGCACAGTGGACGGCGGTAACACTTGACAATGTCACCAGGAAAAGCTGCTTGCTCCGGAATGTGGTAACACGGCCCAAGCGTATAAAAAATATGGCTCAATTAGCGGTTATTTTAGTTTGATTCGCAGCCATATCTGCGTACTCGAAGCTAATAGCTCTACGGATGCAATAACAACATTGCAATAATATGCCGCATCACGCACTCGACGAGCGTGAAGGTCTGACGCCAAGCAGCCAACACCACTGTCGGTGGTGGTACGTACCGAGCAGTGACTGCCGTCTGGCCGTCTGATGGGATATACACTGAGGCCGGCGGCGGGCCGTCTGATCGGGCACACACTGACCCGACGGCGGCCGTCTGATCCGGCACACACTGACCCGACGGAGGGCCGTCTGATCCGGCACACACTGACCCGACGGAGGGCAGTCTGACCCGGCACACACTGACCGGCGGAGGGCCGTCTGACCCGGCACACACTGACCCGACGGCGGGTCGGTAGTACGTACCGAGCAGTGACTGCCGTCCGGCCGTCTGATCCGGCACACACTGACCCGACGGAGGGTCGGCTGATCGGACACACACTGACCGCCGGCGGCCGGCTACCGGCAGAGTTCAGCGCACCCAACGAGCACACCGAGCACCGCAACCGATCCCGACCACAAGAGCAGGGGACGACGCACACGCCACACGTTATCGTTATACTCATACGTAGGCATAAACTATGGTAATGATGAAATCAGCAAACACAACAACACCCTGATTTGGACAATAAGCCACTGACAATCGATAACCGAAGGGCTAGCCGAGCGTCGCGGTGGTCGCCGCCGGGACCAGCTAGCCGGGCTATTGTTGCCCCCGGCGGGACCAGCTAGCCGGACTGGTTCAGTGTTGCCATCAGCGCAGTACAGACAGTCTGGTGCCCATTCAGACGATTCACAAAATGCACATTTCAATCATATCTGCATGAAAAGAACCACTCGTTCATGACAGGGAGCACACTGTACTGAAAATAGAGCGACAGTGCAATAGAGAACTTACATTGCTCCTTTCGATCGATTCTTTCTCACACCAGTGACTCGCTACCAAGCTATCCAGTCAGCCTTATGCTCACGTGTTTGGTATGCAGGGGAGGTCGTCCTTACACACCGCCATCAGCGCCCTCAGCCCCGAGCGGCCACCGTCTCCAGAATCCGGTGGAGCGGGGCGCCCCTACGCTCTGTCAGCGGGCGCCCTCAGCCCCGGACGGCCACCGTCTCCAGGATCCGGTGGAGCGGGGCGCCCCTACGCTCTGTCAGCGGGCGCCCTCAGCCCCGGGCGGCCACCGTCTCCAGGATCCGGTGGAGCGGGGCGTCGCGCCGTCGCACCAGCTCCGCCGCCCTCGGAAACTGCTCGGCCGAGATCAGGAACAGCACGGCCTCGCGCTGCAACACAGCGACACATCACACAGAGTCACACACCGACACATCACACAGAGTCACACACCGACACATCACACAGAGTCACACACCGACACATCACACAGAGTCACACACCGACACATCACACAGAGTCACACACCGACACATCACACAGAGTCACACACCGACACATCACACAGAGTCACACACCGACACATCACACAGAGTCACACACCGACACATCACACAGAGTCACACACCGACACATCACACAGAGTCACACACCGACACATCACACAGAGTCACACACCGACACATCACACAGAGTCACACACCGACACATCACACAGAGTCACACACCGACACATCGCACACGGTAACACACCGACCTATCACACACGGTCACACAGCGACACACCGAGCACGGCAACACACCGACACATACATCACAGACGGTCACACAGCAAAACACCACACACGGCCACATACCTGGACACACCGCACAAAGTCACACACCGACGAACCGACACGACACATCGCAAACAGTAACACAAAACACATAGTAACACAAGACACATCACACAGGTCACACACCGACACATCCACACATCGCACAGTAACAAACGGACACGTCGGCGTCGCACACGCTCAAACACCGACACATCACAAACAGACACATCACAAACAGTACACATCGACATATCGCACACGGTTACACACAGACGCATCGCACACGGTAATGCAGGACCATCGCGCACGATCACACACCGAAAAATCGCACACGGTCATACATCGATAAATCGCACACGCTTTAAACACATCGACACACCGCCCACAGTCACACACCAAAACATGGCACACGGTTACGCAGCAACACATGGCACATGATCACACATCGACAAATCGTACAGTAACACACCGACACATCATACAGTAACACACCGGCAAATCGCATATGGTCACATGCCGACACAGCACACATGGTAACACACCAACACATTACACGGTAAACACATCAACACACCGTACATGGTAACACAACGGCACATCGCACTCCACACACGGTAGCACACGGTAGCACACATACACATTGAAACATCGCAGAGTAGCAAACCAACACATCGAACAGTAACACACCTACACAGCAGACACGGTCACACACCGACACATCGCATACGGTCACACAACGGCACATCGCACACGGTACCACACCAACACATCGTACATGGTAACACACCGACATATCACACACGGTCACACAGCGACACACCGACACATGATACACACGGACACACAGCGAAAGAGGCGGAAAACGCATTCGTTCCCAGCAGCCTGGCCAAGGGAGTCGTTCAGTGTTAATTCAAAGGAAGATATGCTAAAAAAAAAAAAATTCAATGCGAAATGTTGTCAACAGCTACGCAACTGCTCCACATGCCACCTCAAAGCCAAAGCCTTACGTTTCTTTGTCTTGGAATAATATTATTGAGATGTTATATTTATTTTGATGAGTATTGGAGCCTCGAACCCGGTCCGTCACCAGGACCGCCCGGGATTAGGTCTGTCTCCGGGCCCAGTCCCACCTCTAGGACCGGGGGATCGTCTCCGGACCCAGGACCGCGGGATTAGGTCTGTCTCCGGGCCCAGTCCCACCTCTAGGACCGGGGGATCGTCTCCGGACCCAGGACCGCGGGATTAGGTCTGTCTCCCGGCCCAGGCCCCCAGGACCGGGGATTCGGCACGGTCTCCGGGCCCAGTTACGGGCATCCGTACTGTCTCCGGGCCTAGACCCCCGGGACCGGGAGCTCGGGACCGCCTTCAGCGCCCGGTCGGCGTCGTCTCACCTCTCTGCCCACCGAGATGAGGTGGTCGGCGTGTTTTCCGATGACGGCGGCGGCGTCGGCGGCGGCCAGACGGCAGCGCGCCAGCAGCAGGGCCTCCTCCCACAGACCGGACGCCTGCAGGTAGCGGCAGCCGTCGGCCGCCTGGCCGGCCACCACCAGAATCTCCACACCTGAACGGCGCACAATCGGCGTCAGAGCCGGTGGACGACGACCGTCAGCCGTCAGACAAAGCCTGCCAGCGGTCAGCTGGGCGATGAGCATATCACAAGGCGCAACCAAGACCGGCGACAGGCATCTCCAAACGGCACATCACATCTGATCGGACGGAGCACCGCTGCTGAGCGGTACACGGCCGCCACCCGCCGGCGCGCTAACCCCCGCCAGCCGCTGTATCTGGTCCGCAACACTCACCCTTGTGCACGTGTCCGGCGGCGATCAGGCTGGTGGCCACCAGTTTGGCCACGCCGCTGCCGTCGCCGGCGCGGGGTCCCGAGGTCAGCACACACGCCCTGAGGGGAGGGGGGCGGTCGGTCAGTCGTCAGTCACGGCCGAGAAGGGAAGCCCACACACCACACACGACCCAGCTGACACCTCGTCAACGACGTTGATCTTTCTATTGTGGAATTTCACGTACTCTCAATACAATGACCTGAGGAAGTTGGTGTAGGCCTGGTCGGCACGAATGACCTGAGTCAGTTGGTGTAGGCCTGGTCGGCACGAATGACCTGCGACAGTTGGTGTAGGTCTGGTCCGTCTCACTGACCTCAGACAGTTGGTGTAGAAGCCCGTGTCGGCCGGCTCCGTCTCCAGTAGCAGCTGCGCCGCCCGCTCGGGCTGTCCCAGCGCCACCAGTTGGCGGGTCACCTCGTCTGCGGCGCCGGCGGCCGGCCACTGACCCAGCCGCAGCGCCACCCGGTCCCGCAGCTGCTCCTGTCAGCGGAGGGAGGGGGTGAGCACTGGCCCCGTTATCTCTCACACACCGGGTCAGTCGGCACAGGGGCAGCCGCGCCACAGACAGACAGCATCAGGGACACCACAGTAACGCTTAGGTAACAGCGACTTCATGATGCATTTCGATCTGTGCTGAAGTACGAACAGGTCATCACAAGCCACCCTGTCCCACTCACCAGATACATTTCCGAGTCGCAGAGCAGGTCGAAATCAGGCCCGATAAAGTCGGTGTATTTGCCGTCCTGAAAACGGGCATGGCGGGTCAGAGCGTCAACAGGACAGACACATCGCCGCGACCGGAGGGAGGTACCAGCCCTCGGACCAGCAGTGAGCCATACGCCATACACAGCGTGATACAGCACACAGCCATCCAGACGCGACGAATATCTTCTGGGAAAGAGTATGTAGCACACGAGTAAACCACACTGAATACCAGTCTGATGGGGCTCTTTCCGAGTTCCGAGTTCATTGCGCAAACAGCCATGGAACCGTCTCCATAGCCGCGTATGTGCCTATGCGTGTGCAACACAATCGTAGTTCACGGTAGGTACTAGGTTCACGTTTCACGTAAAGAGGACTGCACGAGTAATCATCCCGACCCAGATCCCATTGCAATCTCGGCCGGCAGAGCAGCTGTGGGATCGGCCCGCGTCTCTCCTGCCCGCCGCGATGTCCGCTCAGTTTGTACCGAGCTGGGTCCGCAGAGCACGTACCGCGCTGGGTCGGGGGAGTACGTAGGTACCGAGCGGCCGGGGCAGTACGTACCGACCCCCACCAAACACGATTTGGCAGCACTATAATGAGGCCTGCTGGGCGTGAAGTTTTCCCTTCACCATAGGGTTTACACACAAACTGGTCAAAGTTTGAGCCAGGATATACTAGTCTTAAAATGCAAAAAACGAACAAATTTTGGCATCAATAGATTCAGCATTTCATCGTGTGCCTCAAACCGTCCATCATTTGGCCTCAAAGGAGGTAAAAATTGTTCAAAATCGAAGTTGAAAAGATGCTTTCTGAGCACATAATCTGGTAGCAATCACGTGACCTGCTATAAGCAGCTTATCGATAATTTACAAACATAATTATTAATATGCTGCTTTAAACAACATTACCCATACATTTTGAGCTTTCAGTACTTCAAATAAGGTCAAAACATCGCAAAACACAAAAGTTAATACAATAGTCACGTGGGTGTCAGGAAATGTCACAGGTGCGTCAAATTTGTGACTGGGGCTTTACTTTCAAACATCGGATCTACCTGTTTCTTATAGGTATCTTGGTACGTACCGCGCTGGGTCGGGGAGTACGGGGGAGTAAGTCCCGGGCTAGGTCGCGGGAGTACAGGGCAGCACGTACCGCGCTGGGCCGGCGCCGGCTGAGATGGTGGCAGGCCAGTCTCCAGAGCCGCGCAGCCGACTCGTTCCCCAGCAGGTGGGCGGCCACCAGACCGCGCTGCTCAGGAGGCGTATCGACGGCGCGCAGCCAGGCCAGCAGGTCGGCCGGCAGCGTCTGCAGAAACTGACACACACCTGCCGGCAGCGTCCGCAGAAACTGACACATACTGACACACACCTGCCAGCAGCGTCTGCACAAATTTACAAATTACAAAACCACTCACAAAACTATTTTTGAAGGTACGGACACCAACGGGAAACTAGCTTCTGTCATACGGACACGTCCCAATTGAGAGTACCCAGACACCGACAGGTCAGTGACCTCTGTCCCACAGTTACTAGCAGGTCATTGACCTCTGTCACAGAGATACAAACTGGTCACTGACCTCTGTCCCACAGTTACTAACAGGTCACTGACCTCTGTCGTCGCCGGTGTAGTCTCCCTCGCCGGCATTGAACAGGTACTGTTCCAGAGCAGAGACGGAGCCCAGACTCATCAGGCACGGGTGGCACACCGGTTCTGGGGACAGGGAGGTACTGTTAAACAGGTACTGTTCCAGAGCCGAGACGGAGCCCAGACTCATCAGGCACGGGTGGCACACCGGTTCTGGGGACAGGGAGGTACTGTTAAACAGGTACTGTTCCAGAGCCGACACGGAGCCCAGACTCATCAGGCACGGGTGGCACACCGGCTCTGAGGGGAGGGAGGTACTGTTAAACAGGTACTGTTCCAGAGCCGAGACGGAGCCCAGACTCATCAGACACGGGTGGCACACCGGTTCTGGGGAGAGGGAGGTACGGGGACCCGCAGTTGCTACTGTACAGCGACCCTGAGTAAATTGTCCCAGCACCCTCACAGGGAACAACGATAAGCTGTCACAGAAAACCTCAGCTGCTCTTGTACAGGGACCGGCAGTCGATACCAATGTTATCGGTTGTTACTGGACAGGACAGACGGTTAGACTTGGGGTTCGTGTAGCAACTGCGGGTCCCCGTACTGTTAAACAGGTACTGTTCCAGAGCCGAGACGGAGCCCAGACTCATCAGACACGGGTGGCCCCGTACTGTTAAACAGGTACTGTTCCAGAGCCGAGACGGAGCCCAGACTCATCAGACACGGGTGGCACACCGGCTCTGGGGACAGGGAGGTACTGTTAAACAGGTACTGTTCCAGAGCAGAGACGGAGCCCAGACTCATCAGACACGGGTGGCACACCGGCTCTGGGGACAGGGAGGTACTGTTAAACAGGTACTGTTCCAGAGCAGAGACGGAGCCCAGACTCATCAGGCACGGGTGGCACACCGGCTCTGGGGAGAGGGAGGTACTGTTAAACAGGTACTGTTCCAGAGCCGACACGGAGCCCAGACTCATCAGACACGGGTGGCACACCGGCTCTGGGGAGAGGGAGGTACTGTTAAACAGGTACTGTTCCAGAGCCGACACGGAGCCCAGACTCATCAGGCACGGGTGGCACACCGGCTCTGAGGGGAAGGGAGGTACTGTTAAATAGGTACTGTTCCAGAGCAGAGACGGAGCCCAGACTCATCAGGCACGGGTGGCACACCGGTTCTGGGGACAGGGAGGTACTGTTAAACAGGTACTGTTCCAGAGCCGACACGGAGCCCAGACTCATCAGACACGGGTGGCACACCGGCTCTGGGGAGAGGGAGGTACTGTTAAACAGGTACTGTTCCAGAGCCGACACGGAGCCCAGACTCATCAGGCACGGGTGGCACACCGGCTCTGGGGAGAGGGAGGTACTGTTAAACAGGTACTGTTCCAGAGCCGACACGGAGCCCAGACTCATCAGACACGGGTGGCACACCGGCTCTGGGGAGAGGGAGGTACTGTTAAACAGGTACTGTTCCAGAGCCGACACGGAGCCCAGACTCATCAGGCACGGGTGGCACACCGGCTCTGAGGGGAAGGGAGGTACTGTTAAATAGGTACTGTTCCAGAGCAGAGACGGAGCCCAGACTCATCAGACACGGGTGGCACACCGGCTCTGGGGAGAGGGAGGTACTGTTAAACAGGTACTGTTCCAGAGCCGACACGGAGCCCAGACTCATCAGACACGGGTGGCACACCGGCTCTGAGGGGAGGGAGGTACTGTTAAACAGGTACTGTTCCAGAGCCGAGACGGAGCCCAGACTCATCAGACACGGGTGGCACACCGGCTCTGAGGGGAAGGGAGGTACTGTTAAATAGGTACTGTTCCAGAGCCGAGACGGAGCCCAGACTCATCAGACACGGGTGGCACACCGGTTCTGGGGGGGGGGGAGGTACTGTTAAACAGGTACTGTTCCAGAGCCGAGACGGAGCCCAGACTCATCAGACACGGGTGGCACACCGGCTCTGAGGGGAAGGAGTGCGAGCACGGTACATAACACTGCGGAGTCACGACGGGTGGCACACTGATTCCGGCGAGGTGATCAGGAAGCAGCGACCAAACACAGGCCGTGCACGGGTCGAACAGCGCCGGCTCCACCCACCTCTGTACTGGTAGAGGTCGGCTCCACCCACCCCTATACTGGTAGAGGTCGGGTGTCGGCTCCACCCACCTCTGAACTGGTAAAGGTCGGCTCCACCCACCTCTGTGCTGGTAGAGGTCGGCTCCACCCACCTCTGTGCTGGTAGAGGTCGGCTCTACCCACCTCTGTGCTGGTAGAGGTCGGGTGTCGGCTCCACCCACCTCTATACTGGTAGAGGTCGGGTGTCGGCTCCACTCACCTCTGTACTGGTAGAGGTCGGCTCCACCCACCTCTATACTGGTAGAGGTCGGCTCCACCCACCTCTGTACTGGTAGAGGTCGGCTCTACCCACCTCTGTACTGGTAGAGGTCGGGTGTCGGCTCCACCCACCTCTATACTGGTAGAGGTCGGGTGTCGGCTCCACCCACCTCTATACTGGTAGAGGTCGGGTGTCGGCTCCACCCACCTCTGTACTGGTAGAGGTCGGGTGTCGGCTCCACCCACCTCTGAACTGGTAAAGGTCGGCTCCACCCACCTCTGTACTGGTAGAGGTCGGGTGTCGGCTCCACCCACCTCTGAACTGGTAAAGGTCGGCTCCACCCACCTCTGTGCTGGTAGAGGTCGGCTCCACCCACCTCTGTGCTGGTAGAGGTCGGCTCTACCCACCTCTGTGCTGGTAGAGGTCGGGTGTCGACTCCACCCACCTCTATACTGGTAGAGGTCGGGTGTCGGCTCCACTCACCTCTGTACTGGTAGAGGTCGGCTCCACCCACCTCTATACTGGTAGAGGTCGGCTCCACCCACCTCTGTACTGGTAGAGGTCGGCTCTACCCACCTCTGTACTGGTAGAGGTCGGTCGGAGAGCTGGCCTGGCGCAGCTCCAGGTCCATGACGCGCACGCAGTTGTCTGCCGTCAGCAGCACTGGCTTGTCGGAGGAGACCCAGTCGCAGTCGTGCACCGGGTGGCCGTCGCGCGGCGACCGCAGCTGCGAGAGACGCTCGTCCTGCGGCACAGGACGGCACTGTCAGCCGACCGAGCGACCCAGGTCAACACAGCCAACGACCTTAGACGAACACAGCCAGGTATGTACCCAGATATCCCACTGACTCTCCCATATATCCCAGATATCTCACTGACAGTCCTGGTGTCCCATATATCCCAGCTGTCCCACTGACCGTCCCAGATATCTCCGATGTCCCACTGACCGTCCCATATATCCCTAATGTCCCACTGACCGTCCCAGATGTCCCACTGACCGTCCCAGATATCTCCGATGTCCCACTGACCGTCCTGGTGTCCCAGCTGTCCCACTCACCGTCCTGGTGTCCCAGCTGTCCCACTCACCGTCCTGGTGTCCCAGCTGTCCCACTCACCGTCCTGGTGTCCCAGCTGTCCCACTGACCGTCCCAGATGACCCGGATATACTGACCGTCCTGGTGTCCCAACTGTCCCACTGACTGTCCCAGTGTCCCAACTGTCCCACTGACCGTCCTGGTATCCCAGATGTCCCACTCACCGTCCTGGTGTCCCAGATATCCCACTCACCGTCCTGGTGTCCCATATGTCCCACTGAGTTTCCCATATATCCCAGATGTCCCACTCACCGTCCTGGTGTCCCAGATGTCCACGCCGTCACCGAACAGCACCAGCAGTTTCATGTTGCCGCGGCCGGGCGCGAACTTGAGCTTCCTGATGGCGCCGCGGTGGGTGGGTACCGTGTGGGACAGCTGCTTGGCCAGGTCCCAGATGCACAGCTGGCCCTCGGCGTCCCCCAGCACCAGCTGCAGCGGCGGAGGGGAGGGGGGGGGGGGGTGGCGGTATCAGGTCCGTGTTCTATCCTCACCGCCCGCCGGTACCGGCCAGCGGCAGCGCCGCCCTCAATCAGGTTTGTTTGTTTGTTGGGGGTTAGGGGCGCGCCGACTACGAGGTCATTTTGCGCCCTCAATCATCTGTCGCTCAATCAGGTCTGATCGACACGGGTCGGGCCGACTTCCTACGCCAGCCAGTTTGTACGAATAAAACTGTTTGGGGGCCAATTAAATATAAGTGGTTATGTAAACGAGCTATGAACATGACGGGCATTTCGTTCATAACACGTTGGTTTTGCTTCTATCTTCTCGGAGGCATGAGTTATTGAAAGATACTACCTACTAGCAATATTCATGGGCCAAACGAGATAATATGAATATCCAAAGGAAGAAACAAAAGGCACGGCTGACCAGCCGGGTCAGCGCGGCGGAGAGGTCCGCAGGCTCAGCTGATCCCCTCCCCGCCGATATTGGTGACCGGCCGGGTCGGCGCGGCGGAGCGGCCGGCAGATCACTCACCTGCTCCCCCTTCCAGCCGATGCCGGTGACCGTGCCCACGGCCGGGTCGGCCGGGATGCGCGTGCCGTCGCGCACCTGGTTCCCCTCCACGGAGAAGTGGTACATCTGGCCGGTCGGGTCGGTGAACACAAAGTGCTCCTTGACCAGCGCGCGCGCGCCGTCCGTCTCGGAGGCGCCGGAGCCGGCGCGCCGGCGCGCGCTGTGCACCGGCGACCACTCGAGCGCCGTCAGCGGCGGCAGCGAGGCCGGCAGCGCGCGCAGCTGGGTGAGCGAGCTCAGCTCCCACAGCTCGGCCGGCTGCTCGCGGAACACCACGATAAAGTACTGTTTGAGCGGCGACACGCGCACGGAGCCGATCGGCTCGGAGTCGGCGCGCTCGGCGCGCGGTGCCACCGACTGTCCGGTGCGCACGTCAGTGAGCAGCAGCTCGCTGCGCGCGCCGCCGCCGCCGCCGCCGGCCGGCGCCGGCCGCGCCCAGGACAGAAGCGCCGTCAGGCTGCACCACTCGATACCGGCGACGGCGGCCGAGTGGGCGGCCAGCTCGGCCAGCACGCAGCCGCGCGCCACGTCCAGTACCAACAGCGCACCGGCCGCCGTGCCGCACGCCAGCCGCGGCACAAACTCCTGCGCACATCAGTGGGGCGTCAGAGCGCTCACAGGACGACCGATACGCGGGGCGGGCACAGGCTAACGACACCACGGACCAAAATGGACGAACGATATGGTAGACAGATCTCTAAGCAAAAAAAAAAAAGAGCCATACCGGTAAGGGTGGCACTGGCTATGACAATAAGCCGAAATGGACGGCATCGGCCTAATCATTGCAGCAAGGCCTTGACAAAATTTATGAAATACTAACTTGGCCGACTCACAAATATAGCGCAACTTTCACAATGTAAAAATGTGTCAACCTAATTCATTAAGCTGATCTTCGGCATCAAAACATCAACTACCGACTGCCACGGCGCGCTGATCCGATCCCGCGTCACCCCCAGCCCGCCAGAGCGGCGCACCGACCTGCCAGTTTTTGGTGGTGAGCGGCGGGCACATGCGCAGCACGGTGGGCGTCGCCGGGCCGGGTGTCAGGAGGCCGGCGAGCAGCAGGCGCGCCGGTGGCCAAGGCCAGAGCGGCCGGCGCCCGCCGCCACCGGCGCCCAGCTCCCAGAGCAGCGAGCGGCCGTCCGAGAGCAGCACGGCCAGCCGCGCCTCCGAGGCCGGGTCCAGTGCCGCCGCCGACAGACGCAGGTGGCGCGTCAGCCGCGGCGCGTCCGTGTGGCCGCGCGACTCGTACGACAGCTCGTCGCCGGCGGCCCGCGTGCGCACCGCCGCTACACCGGACTCGCACACCGTCAGCAGGGCGTCGGCGCGCGAACAGCTCATCACCTGTCGGCGGAGAGCGGGCGGATCAGCGATCAGCTCAGCCGAACTGTGGACAGACCGCGGGCGGCTCAGAGATCGGCTCATCACCTGTGGACAGAGGGTGGGAGGCTCAGATATCAGCTCAGCCGAACTGCTGTGGGCAGACAGCGGGCGACTCAGCGATCGGCTCAGCGATCAGCTCAGCCGACCTGCTGGCGGAGAGCGGGTGGCTCAGAGATCGGCGCGCCGGTAGGGCAGTGGCTCCACGTCACAACGAGCACCACGGAGCTCAGACTGGGGGCTGTCCCACCGCGGACCCGGCCGGCCACCGGTCAGGCCCGTCCGTCCGGCCGGCGGGGACAGCTCACCTGGGTGAAGGGCGAGCCAGACTTGTCGGCCGGCACGGCGCCCACGGCGCGGCCCAGCTGCGTGTCGACCAGCAGCACCTGCCTGCCGAACACCAGCAGCAGCAGGTGGCGCCGCGCGCGGTGGTAGCTCAGCTGGACGCACTCCTGCTGGCCGAGCGCCGCCTCCTCCGGCCTGCGGGCGGCGCGCACCGGCAGTCAGCGCCGAGAGACGAGCGGTCCGACATATCAACCACACACAACAGATCAGCCCCTCCCCATCGGGAGTCAGCACTGAGAGACGAGCGGTCCGACATATCAACCACATATAACTGACCAGCCCCTCCCCATCGGGAGTCAGCACCGAGAGACGAGCGGTCCGACATATCAACCACACAGAACTGACCAGCCCCTCCCCATCGGCAGTCAGCGCCGAGAGACGAGCGGTCCGACATATCAACCACACACAACAGATCAGCCCCTCCCCATCGGGAGTCAGCACTGAGAGACGAGCGGTCAGACATATCAACCACATATAACTGACCAGCCCCTCCCCATCGGGAGTCAGCACTGAGAGACGAGCGGTCCGACATATCAACCACATATAACTGACCAGCCCCTCCCCATCGGGAGTCAGCACTGAGAGACGAGCGGTCCGACATATCAACCACATATAACTGACCAGCCCCTCCCCATCGGGAGTCAGCACTGAGAGACGAGCGGTCCGACATATCAACCACATATAACTGACCAGCCCCTCCCCATCGGGAGTCAGCACTGAGAGACGAGCGGTCCGACATATCAACCACATATAACTGACCAGCCCCTCCCCATCGGGAGTCAGCACTGAGAGACGAGCGGTCCGACATATCAACCACATATAACTGACCAGCCCCTCCCCATCGGCAGTCAGCGCCGAGAGACGAGCGGTCCGACATATCAACCACACACAACAGATCAGCCCCTCCCCATCGGGAGTCAGCACTGAGAGACGAGCGGTCCGACATATCAACCACATATAACTGACCAGCCCCTCCCCATCGGGAGTCAGCACCGAGAGACGAGCGGTCCGACATATCAACCACACAGAACTGACCAGCCCCTCCCCATCGGCAGTCAGCGCCGAGAGACAAGCGGTCCGACATATCAACCACACACAACAGATCAGCCCCTCCCCATCGGGAGTCAGCACTGAGAGACGAGCGGTCCGACATATCAACCACATATAACTGACCAGCCCCTCCCCATCGGGAGTCAGCACTGAGAGACGAGCGGTCCGACATATCAACCACATATAACTGACCAGCCCCTCCCCATCGGGAGTCAGCACTGAGAGACGAGCGGTCCGACATATCAACCACATATAACTGACCAGCCCCTCCCCATCGGGAGTCAGCACTGAGAGACGAGCGGTCCGACATATCAACCACATATAACTGACCAGCCCCTCCCCATCGGCAGTCAGCGCCGAGAGACGAGCGGTCCGACATATCAACCACACACAACAGATCAGCCCCTCCCCATCGGGAGTCAGCACTGAGAGACGAGCGGTCCGACATATCAACCACATATAACTGACCAGCCCCTCCCCATCGGGAGTCAGCACCGAGAGACGAGCGGTCCGACATATCAACCACACAGAACTGACCAGCCCCTCCCCATCGGCAGTCAGCGCCGAGAGACGAGCGGTCCGACATATCAACCACACACAACAGATCAGCCCCTCCCCATCGGGAGTCAGCACTGAGAGACGAGCGGTCAGACATATCAACCACATATAACTGACCAGCCCCTCCCCATCGGGAGTCAGCACTGAGAGACGAGCGGTCCGACATATCAACCACATATAACTGACCAGCCCCTCCCCATCGGGAGTCAGCACTGAGAGACGAGCGGTCCGACATATCAACCACATATAACTGACCAGCCCCTCCCCATCGGGAGTCAGCACTGAGAGACGAGCGGTCCGACATATCAACCACATATAACTGACCAGCCCCTCCCCATCGGGAGTCAGCACTGAGAGACGAGCGGTCCGACATATCAACCACATATAACTGACCAGCCCCTCCCCATCGGGAGTCAGCACTGAGAGACGAGCGGTCCGACATATCAACCACATATAACTGACCAGCCCCTCCCCATCGGCAGTCAGCGCCGAGAGACGAGCGGTCCGACATATCAACCACACACAACAGATCAGCCCCTCCCCATCGGGAGTCAGCACTGAGAGACGAGCGGTCCGACATATCAACCACATATAACTGACCAGCCCCTCCCCATCGGGAGTCAGCACCGAGAGACGAGCGGTCCGACATATCAACCACACAGAACTGACCAGCCCCTCCCCATCGGCAGTCAGCGCCGAGAGACGAGCGGTCCGACATATCAACCACACACAACAGATCAGCCCCTCCCCATCGGGAGTCAGCACTGAGAGACGAGCGGTCAGACATATCAACCACACACAACAGATCAGCCCCTCCCCATCGGCAGTCAGCACTGAGAGACGAGCGGTCCGACATATCAACCACATATAACTGACCAGCCCCTCCCCATCGGGAGTCAGCACTGAGAGACGAGCGGTCCGACATATCAACCACATATAACTGACCAGCCCCTCCCCATCGGGAGTCAGCACTGAGAGACGAGCGGTCCGACATATCAACCACATATAACTGACCAGCCCCTCCCCATCGGGAGTCAGCACTGAGAGACGAGCGGTCCGACATATCAACCACATATAACTGACCAGCCCCTCCCCATCGGGAGTCAGCACTGAGAGACGAGCGGTCCGACATATCAACCACATATAACTGACCAGCCCCTCCCCATCGGGAGTCAGCACTGAGAGACGAGCGGTCCGACATATCAACCACATATAACTGACCAGCCCCTCCCCATCGGCAGTCAGCACTGAGAGACGAGCGGTCCGACATATCAACCACATATAACTGACCAGCCCCTCCCCATCGGGAGTCAGCACTGAGAGACGAGCGGTCCGACATATCAACCACATATAACTGACCAGCCCCTCCCCATCGGCAGTCAGCACTGAGAGACGAGCGGTCCGACATATCAACCACATATAACTGACCAGCCCCTCCCCATCGGCAGTCAGCACTGAGAGACGAGCGGTCCGACATATCAACCACATATAACTGACCAGCCCCTCCCCATCGGGAGTCAGCACCGAGAGACGAGCGGTCCGACATATCAACCACACAGAACCGACCAGCCCCTCCCCATCGGCAGTCAGCACTGAGAGACGAGCGGTCCGACATATCAACCACATATAACTGACCAGCCCCTCCCCATCGGGAGTCAGCACCGAGAGACGAGCGGTCCGACATATCAACCACATATAACTGACCAGCCCCTCCCCATCGGGAGTCAGCACCGAGAGACGAGCGGTCCGACATATCAACCACATATAACTGACCAGCCCCTCCCCATCGGGAGTCAGCACCGAGAGACGAGCGGTCCGACATATCAACCACATATAACTGACCAGCCCCTCCCCATCGGGAGTCAGCACCGAGAGACGAGCGGTCCGACATATCAACCACACAGAACCTACCAGCCCTCCCCATCGGCAGTCAGCACCGAGAGACGAGCGGTCCGACATATCAACCACACAGAACCTACCAGCCCCTCCCCATCGGCAGTCAGCACCGAGAGACGAGCGGTCCGACATATCAACCACACACTAGAACCGACCAGCCCCTCCCCATCGGCAGTCAGCACCGAGAGACGAGCGGTCCGACATATCAACCATTCAGAGAACCGACCAGCCCTTCCTCACCGGCAGGTAGCGGAGAACCGAGCGGTCTGAACCACCGGTAGGCAGCAACAAGGACCGAGCGGCCTGACATATCAACCACACAGAACCGACCAGCCCTTCCTCACCGACAGATCACACTGAGCACCGACCGGCCCCGCTCACAGTGTGACGACCGACCTGAGTCTGACCGGTAGTCAATGCTGAGAGCCCACCTATATAAATCACCACACTCGGTTTGCCAAACCAGCAGCCCCACATATACTCAAGGTCGGTCGGCCCATCGGCAATGGCATGTCTTATTTTACTCTTTCTAGGACACAAAAAGGACACCAAGTGGCACACGACATCGTAGAAAATAATTATTCGGAAACATTTCATTATCGCCTTACCCGGGTATGTCGCCAGTGACCAGATCGAGGACCTTCTTCTTTAGCTTATCTTTCGTGGACTTTTCGTCATAGGTTGGTGTAGCTGTGGATAATGAAGACGAGAAAATGCGTCAGGCCAGTATCAGTGTATAAATGAAGAACAGGGCAAACTAAAAAAGAGTGAGTCAAATCGAAAAAAGAAAACGGCAAAAAAGAAGAAAGAAAAATGCAAAGAAATATAAAGCTATAATAAGGGGAGTGCGAACAGAAGAGCGAAATGAACTTCTCTTGGCAATACGAGTACTCATTGAGGGAGCCAGTACGAGGGACCTTGGAGAGCTCACTGGGTGAAGAACAGTAGGGCAATATTGCATGCCGAGGAATACCAGGGCGCCGAGTCCCAGAGCACCCAGACTCAGAGCACCAAATCACTGGGAACACGGGGAGACCGGACCACTCACTAGAGCAGACGGAAAACCGGAAAACTGCGACATATGACTGCGACACCCATTGTAATCTGAGGGAATATTGAGGCCTTCACTGGCCACTGGCGGGAAACTAGTTAAGTCACTGGTTGCTGATCGGGATGGGCGCAGAGGGGTTGAGGGGCTGACGGGCTGACGCTGTCACTCAGTGGGCGCTGAGGAGCTGATGTGCTCAGGCCTCAGCTCCTCACCCGAGAGCTGGGAGCTGAGAAGCAGGGGTGATCACTCACTGGGCGCGGAGGCGGCGCCGCCGCCGCCGCCGGCCGAGCTGCGCAGCGCCGACAGCTGCACCCTGGTGCCGCCCGAGCTGGGACACTTGGCCACGGCGAAGTCGTCCACCATCAGCACCGAGGACGGACACAGCACTGTCGGGTACAGCGGGCGGGGCCCGGCCCGGTCAGCGGGTGACGAGAGGAGCACCCTCACAATAACGACATTTACCGTCACATTTACACAGCGGTGTTTACTGTCACTGAGAACAGCGGCATTTACCGTCACAACATACAGCAGTTTTAGTATTTACCGTCCCGGCACTAGCCTACAACCTAACCTACCGCCAGGGCTACTTACCGTTACAGCTAACAACGATTTTTTACCGTCAGGACAATCACAGTAGTATTTACCGTCAGCGTGCTCACACCGGCATTGACCGCCACATTAACTTAGCGATATTTACCATCAGGGCACTGTCAGCAGCAGGGCTGCGGAGTCGGAGTCGGAGTCGGAGTCGGTCGGAGTCGACAGTTGTGACCGGAGTCGGAGTCGGAGTCGGAGTCGATTTTAGAAACCCGAGCCGGAGTTGGAGTCGGAGTCACCGAAAATCTGTCGACTCCGCAGCCCTGCTAGGTCTGCGGAGTTGGAGTCGGGAGTTGGAGTCGGTCGGAGTCGACAATTCTGCCCGGAGTCGGAGTCGGAGTCGGAGCTGGTTTTTGAAAGCCGGAGTCAGAGTCGGAGTCGGAGTCGCCGAAAATCCATCGACTCCGCAGCCCTGGTCAGCAGTATCTAACATCAGGGCCTTTTTCGTGACCCAGGGAGCACGAGGATGGAATGGTTCGTGGGTATATCATACTCACAGGCCAGTTTGCGCGGGTCGAACGGATCCAGGTCGAAGCTCAGAATCTGTTCATTGTAGGTCTTTTTCCAGAGCTTGTTTCCGTTGTCGGTGTCCCAGAGGACGAGCGAGTTGGGCGGGTGGGCGGCCAGCAGCATGTGTCCGCAGCCGTCCGTGTGGTACACCCAGCTCATGTCTGTAACAGGTGGCGCACTCAGCCTGTCTGTCTGACCGTACAGCAGCCTGAACAGCAGGAGGAACTCAAATTGGACCGAGTGAACACAGCCAGACCGGCCAACTCCATGGATCAAAGAGCCACTGCAGAGTGCAGGGGTTACATGACAAAATCACACTACCACATCCTACAACTGGACAAATGGCAAATAAAAACTCCACTGGTCCAGCGCCCATCCATTCAGTTGCTGACCAGAGACCGGACGCCAGCTGTCCTGCAGGACCATGGTGAAGAAGCCCTCCTTGACATCCCAGATGACAATGTGTCCACTGGCATCAGCTGACGCCAGCACGGCGCGGTAGGCAAACCGGGCATCCAGCTGAGAGCGCTGCCATTTCACCTGCAACACACAGTGATGACCAATGGATGGTTAGTAGGCGCACAGTGACATGTTGCTGCATGGAACTAAACAGTGGCACACTGTTAAATAATCCAATTGACTGGCACTGATCCTGTGATATGCAACTGAATGTTACCAGTCACTGCTAAAACGAGATAGACGAAGGTTAGGTGAAACTCTGTTCTCTTGTTATATTACCTTGGTGACGAGGGCCTTGTGTTTGTCGAGGGTCTGTACGAGCTGCTGCGTCAAAGGGTCAATCACCACCACTGTGTAGTTGCAGCTGTATGCCAGCAGACCCTGCCAGCCCCTGAGAACAAACAGCATGCACCAAATCAGTCAGTACGTCAAGGAGATGAGATGAGCATAAATCATATTTCATACAATGACTCAATGGACTGAAGCTAAACCAATGATAATGCTACAAGTTTTAGATCAGATTCAGATTCTGCTGGATGGCAAAGATACCATATGAATATGATATCACCTAGAATCTTCACTGCCTCAGTAGGTGGAACTATGGTCATTAGTACCCAAATATAGGAACGTTCCCATTTTTGGGAACGGAGTTCCCAAATATGGGAACGGGCGTTCCCATTTATGAGAACGGAAGGTAATTTTTCGGCCGTACGCCCACTAAAACTCAGAAGTGCACCACGTCTCAAAAAAGTGCACGCTAATTTAAATATCTACTGAATCTCTATAAAATTATCTTTAATCTGACCGTTGAACAAGGAAATTGACCGTCGAATGATATTTTTAATGATTTTTTGAAATGACGGAATGGTGAAAACATGGGTTATACTACATTTAACATGCAATTTTAAGGAAAATGAAGCGTTTTTACATTTTGAGGTCAAGTATAATAATTTTCGCCTGGTTATGAAGTTTCATACTAGCGACACCAGGTGCTGACATATGCAAGCGAACACGGGGACAGTCCCGAGGTAATATTGTTGACTTTTGGTGTCGGGGCGCACGACCGCGTGGAACGTCAGTGATTTTACCGAACTACTGTTGTAAACTCAGTTTCAGTGGTTTAAAATTATTCAGCTGTATTTTTTCAGCCCGGAAAGACATATTTTATTTAGATGCTAGCTGTTTAGCGTTGTTTTATAAGGAGCGTCATGAGCGTGGTTTTTGTCTTCCGTGTTTCTAAGCATGATCGTTTTGGGGGGATTTCTCTTATATAGGTCGCTCTGTGTGGCTTATTTATAATTTTAATGCTGATTTCGATCATTCCTCGTGCCCATCCTACCAGGCCTTTTGCCACTTACACTCATTAAGAAAGGAAAAAACTAGATTTTCATTGGGACTTGGTGTTTTGAGGGTGTAACATATTCAGCGTTCCCATTTTTGGATACTTCCTTGTGCTCGTCAACTATCGGTGATAAACAGACAGGTGCTTGACATGTCTCCACCCTCGGCGCGGACGGTGGATATAGGTATGGAAGACCTTGTTGAACATCGCTGAGCGTTGTGAATTACGTAATCCTGCAGAGGGGGGCGTGCCCGCTGCGAGATCGACGGGAATAAAAGCGCAGAAGACCGGGCGAAACATGCGACGGTCTTGCCGGAAAGGTCATCTGATGATTGTTGTGTTAACAATGATTTGCGGCGTTGGATGTGATGCTTGTTAATGAAAAGAGCCCCTGAAAGGCGTCGGTGAAATCGTTCCCAATATTGGGTACGCCGTTCCCATAATAAGGAACGCTCGCAGCGCCAGTGTACGAGAGCGTTCCCAAATTTGGACTCGCGGCCCGGATGATGGACTGCTTTAGAAATAGGGGAACGAGTTGAAACTACGATGGGCCTTACAATATCAAACTCTTTCCCAACAATATTGAGACAAATATCAGGCGGTTCACGATCGTTTTATATTTTTTGGATGTCATTTAACGGTTCTTTTTCTTGTTTTAAATAATGCCTACATGGCGTTCCCATATTTGGGTTTATCGTTCCCAAACATGGGAACGAAAATACGTTCCCGAAAATGGGTACGCTTGACCATAGTTCCGCCTACTGGCCTGTGCAACAATTCAGACAGCATTTTAAGGGCCTGACAAGTCAATAAGGATTCTTCACTGTCTGAACCCAAAAAGACATTCAATTTTGGGTAGTAGTTTAGAAGGCATCACACTTTCATTTTTGCAACCAAGGAGAGGTACTATACCCAGAGATTGACCACACAATCAAATAGATTCTACTCTGCCCAGTCCTTATGTAGGTACTTCATTCAGAGCAGACAAGACCCAGCTGAGGTATATGATTACTGAAGCTTACTGGCAGAATAACTCACCAGTCCATGGCACCCCGAATCTCTGGCTGAAGGCTGCCGCCTGGTATGGTGCGAGGCACAATGTGTGGCAGCTTGCTCGGGGCTGGTAACTCAACACCAGATGCCATTGCTGCTGCGCACTTGGTTGCACACTTCAATGCTTTATTTGCTGTTAGACTATGAGAGCTAGGTCAGAGGTCAGACCACAGACGTTTTCAATCCCCTGCTGCAGCCCTCGCTTTTTGTTTGGTCACGCTCAGCACAGCACGCCTCAGATGATGACGCCTCAGATGTCACGCCCCTTGGACCTTTGGTTTTCACCTTGACCTTAACCAGGGCACCAGGATTGCTTGACCTTGGTACAATTAATTCAATAATCAATAGCGTAAAATAAAGGTTGAAAAAGTCAAAATACGGTATTGCGTATCTTATCACCGATCATTGAACAACGCAAGGCCGCAAGCATGAAGCAGTTGTTTACTTTTTGCTGCTTTATATTTTGTCATCAGTGCGTAAGAAACGTCTTACAGAGATAGTGATTATTTTTGCAAGTTTTATTCGGTAGTTTGGAAATTTAAAAATAAATTTTGTGATAGAAAATTTCAAGATAATTTTATCTTGTAGCAAACCAAAAAGAAACCTTATTTCTGAAGTTATTGAAAAAATTGTTTTTTATTTTTATGTAGTGCTGTTTGGTAGAAAACTACGTGTATAAACTAGATATGGTTGAAATCTGATTGGAAGAAATTATGGTAGAAATTTTTTTGAAAGCAGCGGAGAATGTTGTAACTCCTAGACTCATTATTTGATTATTATTTATTTTTTAATTAAAGATTTTAATAATTTTTTTGCTTAACTTCCTAGAATGAGTATATTCTTGAGGATATCGCTACAATACATATACTAGATTGCCTCGTAGGCACTTGGAATTGCGATAGACAAATATTGCGCACAAGAACCGACCGGCGACCGCTCTCACTGCCGAGGCGGCATGTTGCAGGCGTGAAATATATATTTCGATTAGTTCTTTTTCTTTACGGATTAATTGGTTTTTGCGTAGTTTTCTGGTCGAAGAATTTAACATAATGTTAAAACACGTTTCAAAAGTGGTACAAGTCTTTGCAATCCTTATCGGAGTATCGCTTGTCTCCGGAAGTGGATCTGTAGTTATCAAAAAAGCGGAAAGAACAATTGACATATCTTCTCAGCTCATAAAAGTCAATGCAATCATTACTTATGAAAACAGTGATGCAAAACCGATATCATCAATCCTATTCTCATCTGATCCAGAGTGGAAGGGTGACCTGTCATTCATTGCTGCCAAGGTGAGTGGGCAATTGGCAATTCATGGAATGCATTTGTTGAGCAGGTCTGAAACGCAGTTCACACTTGCCCGTAAGGTCTGCCGGTGACGGGCCCGACACCGTCAAAACGGCCGAATCTGACGGAGCGACGGCCGTCAGGTCGACGGGCATGTGTGAACCGGCAGCGTTTGACGGTCGGCAACAGCTGACTGCGCCGGCGCCGGACCTGACGGCCGTCGCTTTGGAAAGTTCAGCAATGTTCAACTTTTGACGGTGACGGGCCCGTCGGTTTGAATATCTGCGTGTTGGAGGAAGAGGAAAAGGAACGTTCTCATGCAGCATTAAGCTTATATGCATTTTTAAGAGTATTTATACCAATTTCCATCCATTTTTTGAGATGAAAGTGTTTATTACGGCACGATATCTTGAGATTCGATCCCTGATTTAAATCAGCGAACCTATGTGTCTTTCATTTAAATAAAATTGCAGCAATATTTGACATAAAAATGTAAATGCGTGGTATTTTATTTCTGTAATTCAAATAATTTTTTAACCTCTCGGCCTCCCCATCCCCTTCCCCCATCTGCGTCAATCTCGAAAATGGTGCGCCGTTTCTGTCACAATATATGGCAGCCAATGGGAGCTACCAAATCTCAACTTTCGTTTGACGGGCTGCAGGCCGTCAGGTCGACGGTGACGGGCCCGACACCGACAGACTGACGGTCAAGTGTGAACTGCGTGTGACTCATAAGCACAATGGTTCAGCTGGTTCTCAATGATATATCTGAAGAGCATGCTACTTCAAGATACTTAGAACTCACTTTTCAGATTTTCTGGCATCTGCTGTTCCATCATTTCCATTTTTAATCAGGGCAGTCAAATCCTTATGTACCTACCTATGCCTCATGCCCATTGCCCTGTGATCTAGGTGTGATCATCCCCCTTGTCTGACATGAGCAGCTCCTTAAGAGCAGGCCCATGTGTGGTGGGATGACTGTTTGCAGGGTGGCTAGCTGATCCATGTGATGGGCTTATCCCCAGTGAAGGATGAGGTGCCGGCCCAGACCAGGCATTGTCTCCCCCTAATTAAGGGGCCTTACCATACAAAACAATATCCTTGCTGACCACTTTTGGCTGGGAGAGGTGGGAAGAAGAGGAAACAATGTGTAGATTAGAAAGTTTTTCCCCTGCAAATGAATGTGTAAAAGTGTTTGTAATATATGCATGGTGTTGTTCTAAATGTTTTCAGTATGTTTGCCTATCATTAAAATAAGTAGCATACTTAAATACAATACAATTTAACTCCATTCAAAGTAGAATCCTTAGATTTTTTATCCTTAGATATTTTAATGGAATGTGTCAAGTGACAGGTTGTAAATGAATTTATTTGTTATTGAAGGAGATACAAAACTATGAATCATTTTAGACTGTATAAGAGTATATACAATTAAGCATTGACTAACTAGAGGCACATCACCTTATATTGCAGGTTGGCAATGAGGCATTGGATGTGAAGCCTATTGAAATCTCCAGCAAGCCAGGTGTGAAGCATTTCTCTGCCACACTGCCCAAGCCCCTGGCTCAGGGGCAAACAGTCAAGGTATAGTGTTAACTCAAATTCAGATGCATTAAAATCCCACAGCGGCTCTTCTGATGGAGTCTCATTGAGTAACTGTCTTTCTTTTTTATAACATTTTTTTAGCATGTTGAATGATGATGCTAGCTGATGTGTTTCTGAGTTAATGAAGATTGTCAACACATATTTGCTTGAAAAGTGGAATAACTATTTGGCAATAAATAGATGAGTCATATATCTTAACTTCAGCAATGCTGCTTTATCCTTTTTGCATGAATAATAAAATTTGGCTCATGTCTCAAAGTTACACATCTGAGGCCAATATGCTCAGGTATCCCAGTGTTTTTGCTTTGTTTGTTTTCCAATGCTAAAATCCTAATGCAAAATCCAATCCTGTCTTAGGTTGCCCAGCAATTCTGGTTTGTGACTCATATATCTGATTTTGTGATTGGTCTGTTTTACCCTGTCCAGTCAGACATTTTCTCACCTTGTGCCATCACTCTATTTTGCAGGTTGAGGTGGAGAAGGTGTACAGCCATGGCCTGGAGCCGTTCCCGGCAGAGATCAGCCAGGCTGACAAACAGCTGGTCCGCTTCGTGGGCAACCACTACGTGTTCACGCCGTACCCGGTGCAGCAGCAGACCACCAAGGTGCTGCTGGCCTCTGCCAACGTGGAGAGCTACACCAAGCTGAAGCCCAGCCAGCTCACAGACACCACCATCACCCTGGGGCCGTACGAGAACGTACCAGAGTACTCACGGGTGAGTGCACGGCCGCGGCCGGTGCCGTCCGTCGGCAGTGGCCGGGTACCGCGGTGCCGTCTGTCGGCAGTGTCCGGGCAGCGCTGTCTGTCGGCAGTGTCCGGGCGGCGCCGCCTGCCGGTAGTGTATGAAGGGGGCGCCGCCTGTTGGTAGTGGCCGCGGGGTGCTGTCTGTCACTGTTGGCCGGGTGGGGCGCCGCGGGGCGGATACGGCGCTCTGCCGTCAGTGTCCGGGCAGCGCTGTCTGTCGGTAGTGTCCGGACAGCGCTGTCTGTCGGTAGTGGCCGGGCAGCGCTGTCTGTCGGTAGTGGCCGGGCAGCGCTCTCTGCCGTCAGTGTCCGGGCAGCGCTGTCTGTCGGCAGTGACCGCGGGGCGGGTACGGCGCTCTCAGCTGTCGTCAGTGTCCAGATGGCGCGGGCCGGGTCACATTGCTGGTGCGTCTGTCAGTGACTGACTGACCGTCGGTCTGCGGCGCCGACAGAGCGAGCTGGTGGTACACGCCGAGAACAACTCGCCGTTCCTGGCGGTGACGCGGCTGACCCGGCACATCGAGGTCTCCCACTGGGGCTACATCTCCGTCGAGGAGACGGTCGACGTGCGTCACGTGGGCGCCAAGCTGCGCGGCTCCTTCTCGCGCTTCGACTACCAGCGCGAGCACAACAGCGGCGTCTCCAGCGTGCAGCAGTTCAAGGTGGGCGTGGCGGTAGGCCTGGGAGGCGGGACGGACTACTGACCGTGTGTCCGGTTCGTCCGGGAACCGTTTTTCACTGAACTCTGGTCCGAACTGTATGGTATGGTCTGTCCGGAGCGTCAGCTGCTCTAATGCAGTCTGTTACCCTCTAATCACTGAGCTCTGGCCCGAAGTGTCTGATGTGGTCTGCCTTTTCCGTCACGGTCCGGTTCTCACTAAGCCATTGCCCGAAGTGTCTGGTATGGTCTGCCGCTTTCCACCCCGGACCTCTAACCGCTGAGCTGTGTGCGGCAGACGTCGCTGCCGGCCGCCGCCCAGGGCGTCTACTACCGGGACGAGATCGGCAACATCAGCACGTCGCGGATGCGCGTGCTGCCTGACGAGGTGGAGCTGGAGCTGCGGCCGCGCTTCCCGCTGTTCGGCGGCTGGCGCACCCACTACGTGATCGGATACACGGTACCCGTCTACGAGTACCTGTTCCGCAGCGGTGAGCTCCCGACTGGCCACCGCTCACGGGCAGAGGCGACGGTAGAGTTTTTAGCAATTACTGTGCTTCGTTAGTGCTGGCAAGTTATGATCTAATGTATTTAATTTTGCTGGTATTTCATGAAATTCACTTCCTTGGCTCTTGCGGAAAATTATTGTCATCTCTAAGTCATGTTTTTCAGCTGTTTATAAGTGATGCACGACATTTTTCGTGGCTATTATTTTTCCGGTTTAATGTTTTGAATGCAGTGGTAATTTTAGTAGCCTTCACGTCGTTCACCGTATAATTGTTCTGTTTTGTGCGATATGCGGCGAATAATTCCATGCGAAGTTCCTGCTGCGGGCGGACCTGGCGCTCGTTTTCCCCTCGTCCGTGGCCTCGTCCTCTATGTCCGCTCTGAGGTTCTGTATCGTCTCTGTGCGGGTGTATCCGTCTGCTGACGTCTGTCCCATCCGTCCGTGGTTAGGCGAGAACTACGTGCTGAGTATGCGCCTGCTGGACCACGTGTTGGACGACATGGTGGTGGACGAGCTGCAGGTGTCTGTGGTGCTGCCCGAGGGCGCCTCGGACGTGCAGCTGCAGACGCCCTACCCCGTCACACGCCGGCCGGTGAGCGCTGTAGCTGT